CCCCGGTACCCGCATCCCTTCCCGGTGCCCGCATCCCTCCCTCCCTCGGTACCTCCACCCCTTCCCCAGCACCCAAATTCCGCCCCCGGTACCCAAATCCCTCCATTCCCGGTACCTCCATCCCTCCCTTCCCCAGCACCTTCACCCCTTCCCCAGCACCCAAATTCTGCCCCCGGTACCCAAATCCCTCCATCCCTGGTACCTGCATCCCTCCCTGGGACCTGTATCCCTCCCTGGTACCCGCATCCCTCCCTGGGACCCATGTCCCTTCCCCAGCACCTCCATCACTTCCCCTGCACCCACATCCCTCCCCGCTAGCTCCATTCCTTCCTTCCCTGCCACCTTCATCCCTTCCCCAGCACCCACATCTCCCCCAAGCCCCTCTCCAGCACCCACATCCCCTGGTCCCCGGTACCCGTGTCCTCCCTCAGCACCCACATCCCTCCCCCAAGCACCCACATCACTCCCTGGTACCCGCACCCCTTCCCCAGCACCCACATCCCCGCCCAACCTCTGCATCCCTTGCCGGTACCCGCATCCTTCCCTTGCACCTCCATCCCTTCCCTCACCTCCATATCCTCCTCTGGTACCCACATCCCGCCCAGCACCCCCATCCCTCCCCCAGCACCCTCATCGCTCCCTGGTACCCGCACGCCTTCCCCGGCACTCGCATCCCACACTCCATGGGACTCCCCTCTTCCCCTGGTACCCACATGCTCCCCAGCACCTACGTCCTCCCCTGGCACCCACACCCCTTCTCCAGCACCCACATCCCCCCCTCCATGGGACCCCCTTCCTTCCCTGCTGCCTGCATCCCTTCCCTGGTACCTGCATCCACATCCCTGGTACCTGCACCCCTTCCCCAGCACCCAGAGCCCCCCCAACCTCTGCACCCCTCACCGATGCTTAGGCCTGACCCCAGCAGGGGTGCAAATTCCCGTGGGAAGGATGTGCTTCTTTCTTCAGGCAGCTGGAGGAGGAGACGTGTGGCTCCGGCCCAGATGGGCAGGCGAAGGTACAGCTCCCTGGGGATGTGACCCTTGTCACCCTTGGGCACTGAGCAGTTGTCTCAGCCCAACACGGTGCAAAGGAACTCACAGCTTTATACCCAGAGATATGATGCACTAAACGAGCAAAGAGAATAATAAAAAAAAAAGGTCTCACTAGCAGAAAAACGTGATAACCTGACACTCCAGGCAGCCCTACAGCAAGGCTGCGTGCTACACCTCCATCACACTCCCACAGAAAGGTACAACGTGCCCGAGCTGGCGTCAGCCTCACAGTCCCCTGTTTAGTGCCCAGAGCCCCACCAGGGCCCTTGTTGGGGGTACAGGTAGTTATGACACTGCGTTAGGGTTGTACCGCCTCTCACCTCAACCTGCTCCTTTTCTTTTGCAGTCAGGGAAGGACAAGGACGCCATTGATAAAGTCTTCAAGGACCTGGATGAAAATGGCGATTCCCAAGTGGACTTCAAGGAATTTGTCATCTTTGTGGCAGCTCTGACTTGCTGCTGTCACGAATATTTTGAGCAGCAAGCAGCCAAATAATTGTCAAACTGCTCACAAGAAGCCGTCTTTGCCTGCGCTCCATATGCTAGTAGTATGGATCCCTTCACTTCTTCCATGTACCACTATGCAGTTTACAAGCGTGCTGGGCAGTAAAAATAAATCTTACTGTGCTTCCTTCCCTGTCTTGAATGTTAATTTCTGCTCCTTTGTGGAAGAGCTTGGGCTTAGCAGCTCCCAATAACTCTCACTGAGTATTTTCTCTCATTCTCTGCTTTTTAAAATTCTGTTCTTAGCCAAAAGGCCCAATATTCCTCCCAGGGCAGAGGCCGCACAAGGGTAAATGCTGCTGGAGCCCTGAGTCAGCTGGAGGCTGCTTTTGTACAGCAGCATCTCTGGGCTGCAGCCTGCCAGGCTTCAGCCGGTGGAGACTGCAGCCTAAAGCCACACATGTGCCACCACAGCTGTACGGGACGGGTCTCACAGGGACCGCTTTTGGGCCTGTTTGGTACCCTCAGCTGTGTGGTTGTTGCAGGGCTGCCATGTATGCTCCTTCTTGGTTAAAAAACAAAACAAATCAAAACAAAACGAACACAAACACTTTTTTTTTTTTCAGCATAGAGAATTCTGTGCAATTTTATGTGCTGGTGAACCACCTCACCCAGCTCAGATGGATTTACTGCCTATAACATGACAAGGCTTTTCTACCAATATGGTAGGGAAAGGAGGGAACCTGCTGGGAAACACCTCCAGGAACCCGCCAGTGGAAAAAAAGAAAATTTCATCTCTTTTTAAACAATGTTTCCCCCCCCGAAATGCAGCAGCTGCCCCTGCAGACGCGGAGGCCGGGAGGGATTTTCCTTCCCCTCCTGGATGCTCTCAGCAGAATCTGCCTCCCCTCCAATTTCTCTCCTCCAGAGGAGTTTTGCTGTCGCTGAGCCCCGAATTGGGCTCCCAGGGGAAACCCGCTCCCCTCACCCCACCCCACAAACAAACGCAAGTCCAAAAGTCACCGTTACGCCACTAAAAGCATCTTTTTTTTCCCCCTCCTTTGCATAACTTATTTAGGCAGGAACGCCCCAGGGGGGTTCAGGGGGGGTCCCCAAACCTCGAGGGGATGCGATTCCCCCCAAGAGGGCTGCTCTCGCGCTCTCACCCCACCGCCGCCATGAAAGGAAGGTGCAGCAGCCCCAAGCGAGGGGTTTTAAACCCTCCCGGGTGTTGCCGGAGCTGCGATTCGATCCGGGAGCGCCATCACCGTGCTCCAACTCCACCTGGAGCTTCACTAAACTCTCCCATTAGGGCTAAAGACAGACAGGAGCGGTGCTGTGGACAGACAGACGGACTATCCCCAGCTGGAGGTCGGCGGCTTATAAAAATCTGTGTTTTCCTCCCTGAGATTTCCAACTGGAGAGGGGCAAACCCCGCGACTCGCTCCCGCAGTGCCGGGACGCGACAGCGGGAAGGACCGGGCCAACAAATTTGGGGGGTGTAGCGTGAAAAAAAAAAAATCAACCCTCAGCGGCATCCCACAGCACTCAGCTCAGCCCCAGCCCCTTCGCAGGGCGGTGGCCACCTCCCATCGCTCTGTGGCCACCACCTCGGCCCTTCCCGAGCCCTCCCGTACCAGAAGTGATGGCGGACAGGCATCCCTCCTGCAAGCCGAGCCGCCGGCAGAGCTCCCCGCGGCGCCTCTCCCTGCCTTTCAGATCAGTCGGGCGTCTCCTTCCAGCTCAACCCGCAGGTCACAAACACCGGTGAAGGCGATGTCCTCGCCGGCCCGGTTGCCACCACCGCCACCGGGAGGGGACGGTCGCTGAAGGCCGTCTGCCGCGGGGCTGGCATTCACGTAGGCCTCCAGGGATTTTAGGAGCTGCTTGGGTTTCTTTTTGGTGGCCGATTCCAGCTCTGGGGAGGCGAGAGGGGAAACGCATGAGGACAGAGAACGACGTCTGGAGGGTGTCGGGGACGCGATGCGCTCCCTGGGGTAAAGGTTTCCACCCGGATTATTTCTTCTGGCGGCCTAAAGGATCCCCCCTTGGAAATTCTGTTTTGCTCAGGATGAGAGAGCACAAAAAGCTCCTCAGCAAAACCCTCAGCGTCAGCCTGAGCTCCCCGAAATCCGGGAGGGAAAAACCCGGGGAGAAGGGATGGAAGCAGAGCCCGACAGCGACAGCTGGACCCCGTTTGAAGCGGGAGCCATTAACACGGCTCCGGTGACAGCAGTCTCCTCCGGAGTAAATAACCCCGACTGGTTAATTTAGCGCCGGCTGCGAAAAGCCACTTCGCTTACACCCTGCGTTACAAAACGGGCCTTACGCAACCGCCCAGCGCGGGCGAGCCAGAAACGTCCCCTGTTTGTCACCCACCTCCCAACAGGGCAGGCGCTGCCATGGGTGCTTGTCTTTAAGATTTGGCAAATCTTAAAAAAAAAGATGAGGCAAAACAGGGTGGGGGGAAAAAATCCCCACCCCGCAGGCGCTCAGATAGTTAAATTGTTGAAAAATCTGAAGAAGTGATGAACAGTTGGGGTTTCCGGGCCTTTCACCCCTCGGGGTTGGGCTCAGCAGGACACAAAGGTGTCGAGAACACCCTGGGTTTGTCCTCTGGGATGTTTTCCTTGGCTGGGAAAAGGCGGGGAAGCAAACCCCTCGGAGGGGAAACAAACCCTTCAGGAGGAAACCAGAGTCGGCGAGGGTTTTGTGCTGCCATTTCCAGACGCGGTAGAGCTGCAGAAAGGCCGCCGCGTACAGGTCGTTCAGCACGGCGATGACTTGCTGCCTGCGGTTACACTCCCTGAAACGGATGGAAAAGGGGCTCAGGCGCCAGGGAGGGACACCGCTCACGGGGAACGACCCACAGATGCCGGCTGAGACCCCAAAAATCACTGGAATTTCACCCAGCCCGGCTACAGAGCCATCGGCTGCTCCGGATCTCACCTGGAGAGACATTCCTCCCTCAGGGCCTGGACGACGATGCGGGTGATGTTCACCGACATGATGCAGAAGGGGAAATTCTACAAGAGAAAGAGGGTTATCGCAGCCCGGACAGCCCCTCCTGCCCTGTTACACCACATCCGCAGGGAACAGATTCGCAAAGCGGGATAATAACACTATGGATTCAGGCTTAGCAGGGTGCTGCAGATCAAGCCAAGTTTATATCCAGGCTTGAACCCAACCGTATCCAAGAGTAAAATGCCCATTTTAAGGAGAAAGGCTCCACTCGCTCCTGTTTTCACCCCGTGCTGCTCTTCGCCCACTTCTCCGACCCTTTTTCACCCATGCAAATTCAGCTCCGACCCAGGATCCCAGGAGCAAATCTCTGATCTCCACCAGGATGTCATTCCCAGCATAAAGCCAGTCCCCTGGAGTTCGGCTCCAGCCTTCCAACGGAGCTCCTCCACTCTTCAGGGATCACTTTCCTCCCCTTACCAGCGCCAGGAGGATTAAGCCGCCAAAAAATATTAAAAAAAATCAAGCCCTTACACTGCTGAGGTGGTTTTCCCTCTTCCCTTTCCCTGAGCATTAGAAATCAACAGGTAGACACCACCGCAGGGAGGAGGCGAAGGAGGGGGAAGGACGTGCCTGGGTTTCGTGCTGGGATAGCTGGAAAATCTCTTGAGCGAGAGGCAGCGTCTGAGAGTCCATGACGAAGTACAGCATCTGCATCAAGCCGAGCATGCCCGTCCCTCGCAGGTCAGTCCCCGGATCGGCACCTGGAAGGGCAGGAGAGCCCGATGAAGCGAGGGACAGCCCGGAGTCGCTCTCTGGTCACCTCCCCGCCTCCGCGGGCTGTTTATACCATCACCGTGTTTTAAGAGTGGAGGAACCCCAGTGAATCGCATCCTGAGGGGAAGCTCGCGGGGAATTTCCCTAAGCGGAGCGGAACGGGTGCTGTACCGTCTTTCACATGGGCATTAACCAGCCCTCGCTCTCCCACCCACGCACCTATTCCCACACCTGCTCCAGGGATGGGTGGGTTGGGGCAATCCCAAGCACAACTCCAGGCTGGGTGGAGAAAGGCTGGAGAGCAGCCCTGAGGAGAAGGACCTGGGGGTGTTGGTGGGTGAGAAGCTCCCCATGAGCCGGCAGTGTGCAATCCCAGCCCAGAAAGCCCCCGGCACCCCGGGCTGCATCCCCAGCAGCGTGGCCAGCAGGGCAAGGGGGGATTGTGCCCCTCTGCTGCGCTCTGCTCTGGGGAGCCCCCCCTGCAGTGCTGCCTCCAGCTCGGGGGGTCCCACCAGCAGAAGGACACAGAGCTGTTGGAGCAGGGCCAGAGGAGGCCCCGGAGATGCTGGGAGGGCGGGAGCCCCACTGCTGGGAGGACAGGCTGGGAGAGGGGGGGGGGTTCAGCCTGGAGAAGAGAAGGCGAAAAAGGGGAGACCTCAGAGCCCCTTCCAGTGCCTAAAGGGGCTCCAGGAGAGCTGGGGAGGGACTCTGCATCAGGGAGGGGAGCCGTGGGACGAGGGGGAACGGTTTGACACTGACAGAGGGGAGATTTGGACGAGATCTGAGGCAGAAATTCTTGGCTGTGCGGGTGGTGAGCCCCTGGGGCAGGTTGCCCCGAGAAGCTGTGGCTGCCCCCTCCCCGGAGGTGTTCAAGGCCAGGTTGGACGGGGCTTGGGGCAACCTGGGCTGGGGGGAGGTGTCCCTGCCCAGGGCAGGGGAGTGTAACTGGATGATCTTCAAGGTCCCTTCCAAACGAAACCAGTCTATGATCCCACAAATTGGTAGCTTTAAGCTCTATCCACCCCAGGGCACATTTGGTTGGTAAACTAACGCTCAAAACCAGTTGCGTACGCATGAGGATGGAGGAGTGGGAGCCATTCCCCTCCTGTCCAGAGTTTCAGGCTCCATTAAAACCCGCCCTATTTAACTCGCAAGTCAACCAGCCTGAAAACTCCTGTGCGGCCACACGTGACGGCTTTAATCACGCTGTTTTTCTCCCACAGCCGAGGCTGAAAGCAACCCGCGATGCAACCTTAGTGACAGAGCCCTGACCTATGCTTCGTTAATAAACCGGCCCTCCAGAGACGGCTCATTAGCCACAGAGATGGCGTGCTAATGAACAGCATTAATGGTTCGGGTAAAGCAGTTATGCCCACGCCAGCTGGACACTGGGCAACCACAGCAGCAGGTATTGGTGTTATCTGGTCAGCCAGTCCAGATGTTGTACTGGTTGTGACAGCTGGACGGGGCAGCAACAGATCTGCTGCGACAGCAGGGCTCAGTATCGAGGCCGGTTCCTTAATATCTTTATCGATGATCGAGCGCACCCTCGGTAAGTTTGCAGGTGTTGCAAGTGTTGATCCGAGGCCGCACCTCAAATAGTGTGTTCAGTTTTGGGCCCCTCATGACAATAAAGATATTGAGGGACTGGAGTGTGTCCAGAGAAGGACAACAGAGCTGGTGAGGGGTCTGGAGGACAAGTCTGAGGAGGAGCGGCGGAGGGAACTGAATAAGACAAGAGGAGACGACCTCCAGTTGCGCCAGGGGAGGTTTAGGATGGATATTAGGGAAAACTTCTGGACCAAAAGGGTTGTCAAGCACTGGAACAGGCTGCCCAGGGCAGTGGTGGAGTCCCCCCTGGAGGGATTTAAAAGAGATGTAGACGTGGTGCTAAAGGACATGGTTTAGTGGCGGAGTTGGCAGCGCTGTTTTAATGGTTGGACTCCATGATCTTAAGGGTTTTTTCCAACCTCAAGGATTCTATGGAACAGCAGCAGCTGCGTGAAGGGAGCGGGAACGAGCAGCAAACCCTCTACACTGCCTCTGGATCCCACCTCCAGAGCCGCGAATGGGATCAGCACAATCTCCCTCAGCAAAGGTTTGCCCCACAGGTCTCTCCCTCTGCCCTACCTTGAAAGCCGAGCTCTTCCCAGTGCGCCCCGTAGCGTGGGCAGCCCAGCCTGGAGCGGGTCAGCTTCTTGTAAATGGTCTGCAGGATCCTCATGTGCACTCTCTCGTTATCATCCAAACCACCTGGCAGAGAGAAAGCACTCCTAAGCATCCAGAAAGCACCCTCGGCACCCAAAAAAACACCCCTCGGAAGCTATGCCCTGCTGGCCTCTAGCAGAGACACAGTGGGGAAAGAAATCAGAACACCAGAGTCCAGCTGGAAATGAAATCCAGCAGCTAAGAACGACTTATGGTGACAAGGAGAATGTCCCAGCTGTGTTTATGCTGCTGGAGGGGAGAAGGGAAGGAGCAGAAACACAAGTAATACAACTGCGCATTGTATGAACACGGAGATAACAAATATTCTGGCATCACGTGAAGTTTTGCTGGCTGAAACAGCGCTGGCTGGGGAACCATGACCAGCCACAAACCCCAGGCGAGGAGCTTCCACGTGTTCAGCACGTGTCATCCACCAAGGGACAGGGCAGAAACAACGCACACCATGGCAAGGTAGCGGGAGGATTCCTATCTTGATCATTTTGGTCAGGAAACGAGGAGCTGGAAGGGCTGCAGAGCCGTGGAGCACCTGCCCAGTGCCGTGTCAAGGCGTACAGGCGGAACAGCTACTGTGGCACGATGGGGAGGGATCACGAGAGCCATCGCTTCCCTTCAAAAGTGACCATGAATGCAGCAGGGAGCAAAGGCGATGGGGAACGCGTCCTCTGGGACAAGCAGCTGCCACAGGATAAGCGAGCAGAGGCCACACTACAGCCCTGACCCGCCTCGAGTTGCTTCCCACGAAACTGGGACGATAACGGTGACGCCGGCCGGGCCAGCGGCTCACACGGGGGCAGAGGGGAACACTCACACTGTGCCATGGCCAGAGCCAGCTCCCGCTCTCCCCGCAGCTGTGGCTGGAGCCGGGGAGGGCCAAAGAAGAAGCGAAGCAGAGCAGCCAGGCCTTGCCTGCGCACCGTCGCCCGGACCTTCTTCTGCGGAGGAGAAAACATGCAAAGACACGATCAGGACCGGTCCCTCAGGGAACTGGGCAGGAGAAAAACCTGTGGGAGAGCTGGGAGGGACGGGATCAGGCGCCA